CTCAGCCTCGGCTGTCAGCTCCCTGTCCCAAGCCTGGGGAACGAGCTGCTGGCGGCACCACATGATTCATCACCAGGCTGCCTGCGCCCACAGGCCCGCCGCCCCGCCCTGCTCAGCACCTGCGGGCTGCCAGGAAACACATGTGACCCCTCCAGGTCAGGCACCACACTCTGAGGGCCCAGGCCAGGCTGGCCAGGGGCACGCACAGACCCAGGATAAGTGCTTTCCTGGGGGGCCGCCCAGCCCCAAGGACAGGTCCCCCACCCCCAGACTGCACCGGACACAGGCAGCAACTGGCTGATGTGTCGGCTGGGATTTTTCCGCTCTCGATGAGCCCCCTCCCCTCCCCCTCCCCAAAGTGGCTGCAGCTGTCAGGACCACAGATTGGAACTGCAGGTACGGGGCTGGCCCGCTGCCCGCCTCCCTCCCGTGTCTGTCTGCGAGAGAGGAAGCCGGCCCACCTCTGGAATCCTTCACTCTCTCCTCGTTCCGCCTCTCCCACCTGTCCCCCGGGAGCGTGGGGTCAGCCGCCCTCGCTCAGTCTCTCTCTTCCCCCAGCCCCTCTCCGATTACAATGCGGGTAGTGTTCAGTGTTCGCGCCGCTCCCCTGCACGAAACGCCTGCCTGTCTCGAAGCGCCACACGGTCTTCCTGTGCCGACTTGAGGACTCCTCCGAGGACTCCTCCTCCTCCTCCTCAGGGTTTTATCTCTGTCAAAGGCTCAGAGAAAGCCTGGGGCAGGAGAGGGCCAGCACTGTGCCCGGCTCACCTGCTGCATCTGACCCCATAAAGGCTCCAGCAGAGATGCTGAGCTCTGGAGGCAGAGCCAGGAGGTAGAAAGTCAGGTCCTGCTTGGCCTATCCCTGTCTCAAAGTCCAAACTAGCTGAGGGGACCCTAGCCAGGGACGGGACCAAGGTGGGAAGTTGCCAGGCCCAGATGCCCTACCTCCTGTTCTGCTTCCTCTGATCCTGTGTCTGTCCTTCCACAGGCTGGTTGAGCCCACAGCTGGGTCTCCTGCCCACACCTCCACAGCCAGGAGGGTAGCAAGGGTCTACAGAGTAAAATGAGGGCATCCTTTGCCGGAAGTTACCCCAGATCCCAGCCTGCCTGGCCCTCTGCTAGGCTTGGCTCAAGGTCCAACTGATGGATATTCCCATGCAGGGCACCCTGACTTCTGGCATCTTGCTAACAGGGGTTCCCAGAAACCCCTGCAGGATCCGGGGCTGTGGGCACAAGCTGGAGGCACAGCACTCAACTGCTCACCTCTCATCAGCCCAATTTAAGTCTCCATAAACTAATCTGAGTGGTTAATTAACCTGAGTGGCAAAGGCCTGTTCTGAGCCCTACTATATGTGAGCAGAACTGCAGCTTCCAGCTGGGGGGTGGGGGCCAGAGCTCCACACCTGCTCAGCCCTCAGCTCCAGGTACCCCCAAAATCTCATTATAAAGATTTCCTGCTCAGCACTGAGCATTACCCACATGCATCCCCTGCAGGACAGCCCTGGCCTCAGCAGCCAGCCTCCCAAAAGGGCCTCTGCCCCACACCCCCACCCCAGCCAGCACCCCTCACCTGCCACATCTGACAGAACTGCCCTCAATGCCTCCTTGCTCAACTCCACAGGTTCTGCCAGACCCTGGGCAAAGCACCTTCCCTCAAGAGTCCCTGTCCCTCACTCCCCACCTGCCTGCCCAGGCTCCTGCTGCCAAGGAAACTGGTTCTGAGTGGGCACAGAGGGCCAGGACCGCAGCCACCCCATACCCCACAAGAGGGAGGACGAGGCTCTGAAGAGGCCTGCCTCCACCTGTCAGCTGCTGCCAAGCCTCCAGGCCCTGAGAGACCCTGCTTTGTCTTGCCCCTCCTTACTGACCCACCATCCTCCCCAAGGGAAATCTTCTCTCCCAACCAGAACAATTAAGTGCTACGGGCAGCTCTTGGCACCCCCAGGCCTAGGGCCAGGGACAGTACTGGGTGGAGGTGGGGTCTCCCTGGCCAAGAGGTACACAGCAGTCATGTTACACATACCCACCCGTGCCCTGCAGTCGCGGGAAGGGCCCTGGGACAGCAGAGTGCATCCATGCCCCTCCCAAGTGAGGTGGGCCCAGGCATGCTGGTGGAAAGGAAGCAGACTCGAGGGGCCAGCCTGAGCCCAGCCAGCAGCCCACTCGGAGGCAGGCGCAGGCGGCCACGGGGGTGGACAGCCGCCAGGGAGGCCAGGGCGGTCTGCAGGCCCGGGGCGCCCTCCACAAGCAGAGCGGGGAGAGCTGGCTTGCTCGCTCGGAAACCTGAGCTGAGGCTCGGCTGCCAGCAGCGACGCAAGCACTGAGTGCGCAGGGCCAGGACGCACGGGCGGGGGCGGGTAGCCCCGGAGGAGCGGAGGCCGCCAGCGCTGGAGGCAGCTGCTGGTTCAGTAGCTGGGAGAAGCCATTAACGGCGTTTGGCGAGAGAGCAGAGGGGATCGCGGGCTCTGGATGCAGACAGGCCCGGGCTGCATCCCTGCGGGAACTGGACTCACAGGCTGGGTCGGGGGCACCAGGGAGTGGCTATGGCTGCAGCTCAGGACAGGCCCCTAGATCCTGCCAGAGGTCTCACAGGGGATGGCCCCAGGCCCAGTGTCCCTGGGGACAGGAAAAGGACAGTGAGGAGGGCGGCTCCCGGCCAGAGTTCACAGCCGCCTTGAACCCCTCACCCCAGCCACGCTTCCTAGACAAACAAGGCCACAGGCATGCTGGGCGGTCAAGTGGCAAGGGGGGGTGAGGGGAGGAGAGGCAGGCTGCTCCTCCACGCACCTGAGCAGCAGCCCTAGGCCTCAGTTTCTCCCAGCTGCTCAACACAAAGAGGAGGGGCTGCTGCTGCAAAGGCCTCTAGGCCTCCTCACCCCTCCCCCTCCACCCCAGCCCACCTCCCTGGGGGTCCTGGCGGCTGGATGAGATCACGTCTGTGAAGCTCCGGGCGCAGTGGGAGAGGGGTGAGGTGGCCATGCGGGGGCGGGGCGGCCACAGCTCAGCCGGCTCCTGGGGGCTCCCCCCACTGCACAGCAGGACCCCAGCCAGGACCAGCGGCTCCTCCAGGGGGCTCCACCCCCCTCCCTCAGCCTGCTGAGTGCTGCCTGGCCTATGAATCTTGGGGAGAGAATGAGGAGCCCAAGTATATGCGAAGGGCTGGTTAGGTCTAGGAAAGTCCAGGGCAGTGGATCTTAGCAGGTGCCAATGGTGAGAGAGCTCAGAGCCCCTGGTGTTCCCAGGCCCAGCCCTGGATCCAAACCCAGGGGTGGACAGGGAAGAGACCAAGGAGGAGAGGTAGGTGCGGAAGGGGTGGCTGGGTGGCACATCTACCCCCAGCAGGAAAGCTGGCTCTGGTAACAGTGTCTCCTACACCACAGCCAATGCCATCCTCTCAGCTCCTGCTGAGATCACTGCTCGCGGGAGGACGCACACTGGCAGTACCCTCTGCCCTGCTGCCAGGGGCTCTGGTCAGTCCACCCAACCAGTTCTGCCCAGTGTCTTCAACTGGCCACGGACCGGGTGTCACCAGCCACCTTCAAGGACACTGCAGTCCAGCTGGAGGGCCATGCAGGGGCTGCCCAACAGCAGGTTGCAACCCCTCAAAAGTACCAACCAAACAGGACATAACTATAGAGAGGGCAGATCTATGTTCAGGAAGAGACCACCATGTGTGCACCCTGGAGAGAAAATGGGGCAGGTGGCTTGAGGTGGGCCCAGCTCTCCTTGCCCCACTGAGATCACCATGTCAGCACCTTCCTACTGTCTCACTGGGAAGCTGTGGGCTCAGTGCTTCCGGCCTTCCCACTTGCAGCTCCCCTCAAGCCACCCCCACTCTGCTCCAAGGGTGTGAAAGCCCAGATGAACACAACCTCAGGGTAGGGGAACCAGGCACCCCCCCATGTACATGGACTTCTTGGGAAGGGATGCATCTGTCTGGGCCTGGCCTGGCTCTTGAAAGCTGAGCTCTGCCGCCCCCTCGAGCCTCTGGCCGGCTGTGCTGGCAGGAGCACGGGGCGGCATCTCCGCTCCCGCGCTGTCACTCAGGCCGACATATGGGATAGTCATCACTGGAGGAAGCGGACCCCGCAGCCCCCGCTGGCTTCCTCCCGGCACAGCAGGGGCTGCCCACCCCGCAGGTCAGCAGTGGCATCGGGAAAGGCCTGGTAGGAACACCCCAGGGGTAGCAGAGTCAGGCAGGCCCTGATGAAGGCCACGACCGGCTCTAGGGGAGCCCCTCCCCTGGCCTCTGCACTCCGTTTACAATCATCACCGATTCCTCAAAATACCAAATATAAAAAAGTAGCCGACAGGATGTGGCTGCCGACAGCCAGAGCCCCTGGGGGGGGAGGGGAGACAGGCAGGGAGCGCGCTGCGCGGGCCCCCCCTTGCTGAGTGCGCCCGCTGCTCCGGCCAGGAAACCAATTTATTTTGTTTTGTCTCTGTTCTCTGAACGCGCAGCAGAGACTGGATCGGGCGGGCGGCCAAGGCTCCTGCAGCCACTGCCAAGAGAGTGCGAGGATGGGGGAGGAACCTGAGCAGGGGAGGGGGACGCGTGTCTCCCTGAGGCCCCGGGGACAGCCCCTGACAGGCAGGCAGGAAGCACTTCTGCGGGAAGCAAGGTCCCTTTTCCTGCAAATCCCACACCAAGCCTTCCCCTGCAGCCCCCCAGGGCTCAGAGGAGGCTGCACACTCACATACAGGGTTGCTAGGCACAGGGCCCATAGCCCTGCCCTAGGGCTGGGCCACACAGAGAGGGAACAGGCAGGTACTGACTCCCAGCTCAGAGCTTCTCAGAGCTTCCAGCTCCTCCCAAATCAAGGGCAGCCCCAGCAGCTGAATCTGCCTCCTGGACACAGCCCATCTCAACCTCTTGATGCCACGGCTCCCCAGAGAAGCCAGTTGAGCCCCCAGCCCAGTGTCATACTTATCCTGTTTAGACTAAAACTCCTTGAGAAAAACAACCAAATTTTCCTGTCCCTCCTGAGTAAGTGCTCTTAGAACTCAGCCAGAGGCCTGAAGGTAGTAGCTGTGACCCACAGCAACCACCACAGGAGTTAGCGGGGAGGGACGCCAGGGAAAGGGAAGGGGCAGACCCAAACAGGATACCAATAGAGAGCCCTGTCTTATGCCCTTGGTTTTGGCCACAGGGTAGCTCAGTCTGCTCCTGATACCCTGTGTCCCAGCACAAGCTGGCTGGGTATAGAAGATGCCACCCCAGCCCTGTTCACACCCACCCAGACCGTGAGCACGGCCCCCAGTGAGCACTCGGTGACCAAGATCAGGATACCCTACACATGCACTCAGGAGCCACAGGGCCAAGAAGAGGGTATGAGAGGATCATGGAGCCACGCCCAGCCCGCCTTCCCCTCCCTGGGTAATGACACACACATACTACTGCAGTCATGTGTCTCAGCCCCCGAAATCACTCTTCCAGACAAGGAACAGGGACCCAAGCCAGGACGCCCACTCTGGCCTTGGTAGCATCGCTGCGGCCCCAACACCCTCCTGTTCCAAGCAGCACAGCACACCTGGAGGCAGGCCCCCACACCGCCCCAAGGCCACCCTGGCCTGAGGCCCAGCACCCTCTCTAGGTGGCTTCCGGCTACCACCTTGGCCCTGTAGAAGGGGATCCCACCCTACACAGTGGGAAAGGAGCCTCAGTCTCACCTCCTCATCAGAGCTGTCTTCTGCATACTCATCCCCACTCTGGGCTCTCACTGCTGTCCTCAGACAAGGGACACCAGCCTGCAGAGAGAGGGAGAGAATGGTTACTTCAGGGGACATAGGATGTCCTTGGACCTAGGGCAGATCTCAGACCTAGGGACCCCACCACCCTCAAATCTGAGTAGCTCCAACCTGGCTCTAGGCCTCAGCACAAGACTGAGGATACCGCAGCTCTAAGGAAGCCTCAGAGAAACCTGTGTGGCCAGTACCCAACAGTGCAGGTCCCAACCACAATCCTGTCCTCTCTGCAGGGACTGGACCCCAGCCTCCCCATAGCCCCTCTGGCAGCTCAGGGAGGGGCTGACAACTGGTGCCAGATTGGACAAGGAGAAGGCCACTCAGAGCAGTCAGCAGCAAAGCCCCGGCCAATGGCTAAGACCTCCCCTAATTCCAACTACCCCATACACCCACTCATGTCAAAGCTGCTGCTGGGCTCCTTCCATCAGTCCCACATTGGGTCCCCGCCACCTCAGTCCAGTGCCAGGGGCAAGGCAGGAGGAGGCAGCACTGTCACTGGGTGGCAATGCTTGGGGAAGGGCAGGCGGCACACACCGTCCACCCATCATCATCATAGGGAGCACAGTCAGGCCCCTCCTCAAGGCAAGCCCGTACCCCAAGGCAGCCTCACCCGTGCTTGGCATGGGAGACAGCCATGCCCAGCCCAGCCAGCCAAGGGCCCAGAGTAGCAGCTTGAACATTCAGAATGCCTCAAACCCCCATACAGCCCCACTGGCCCTCAGCACCCTCCCACCCACCAAGTCCATGGCCCCAGGCCGACCCTGTCCCACTGGGTCAGAGAGTGGGCGCCACTGAGAATTCACACCCCAACCTGGAAAATAGATTCTCCCCTCAACTGGGGAGGCGAGGACGACTCCAACCGGATTGGGTTTACTGGCGGAACCAGGACTGATGGGGAAAACAGGCCCACCTCTCACCCCTGGGGGCAGTAAAGTGTTCAGGAGCAGGAACCCCTGAGCACGGGCGCCCCCGCCAGAGCCCCACTCCCTCCTGCCCGGGAAGGAGCCAAAGGCCTGTCGAGCCTGGCTCTTCTTCTCGCCTGTTTTTCCCCTCAATATAAGGAGGGATGGGAGACTAAGTTTTTTTCCAGGCCAGGAATAAGGAGGGATTCGGTTTCCACGTCTCCCCCACCCCCATGTCCCCCACTGCTCACTGAAAGTGGGTCGGCACTGCCTGTGGTCTGGGGTAGTGGGTGGGGGGACCAAGCCTGAGCTCCTGCCTCTACCAAGGGCACACAAGCAGCTCCCCTCCCCCTGCAGCCACAGCAGATCCACCTGCCCCAGGCTCTGAGCCACAGACCTGGGGCAAGGACCATTTCACACTGAGCTGCGGTCAGCCGCCTCACCTAGCACCTGCAATGCAGTGCTGGCCACAGGCCAGGCTCCTGACCCCTCACAGTGGCCCAGGAGCAAGGTGTCCCACCAGATGCTGGTACCCCACAAGTCCCAACCTCAGTGCCAACGGGTCACAGTCATAGGGTCCTAGAAGCAATGACAGATGCATCCAGCACTCTTGTGCCCCCCAGCACAGCAGTGCAGGGGACACCAAAGAGCTGGACAGGCAGGCCCTTGGCAAGGGGAAGGGGGCACCCCAATGGTGAGGCTTTGAGTTTCCCCAACTAATGAGCTCTTTTGGAGGTATCAGGTTTCCAGCAGTGCAGCCTCATCCTAACTGAACGGCTGCAGAGCAGATGGTGTCCACCAGAGGGCGGCAGCAAGGCGAAGCATCAGCGGGCCAGAGCCTCAGAGCTGGGAACTGGCTGACCTGGGAAAGCATACTCCTTCACGTTAGGGGCAGATGCTGTGGGACATTAAAAAAATTTTTTATTTAGAATTAGGAAAAAAGGTCACTAAGACAGCAAGTGGAATATAGGTCTATGCTGTCCTTACAGTACCAACTGTCTCCTGGGAGACAGGAAATGCTCCCAGTGACCCAGCCCAGCCTCAGCACTTGCATTCTCAGTACAGACACAGGTGGGTGGGGTCTGCCTAGATCCATGCAGGCCGCCAGCACCCACCAAGGAAGGCTCAACCCCAAAGCTGCTCCCAAAGGAGCCCACAGGCATGGGGGTGGGGATGCAGAGGATGAGGGAGAGGGTGCACATTCTGTGGGCAGGTGCTTCAGATGAGGGATCAGAATCCCAGGACAGGAATCCCACCTAGAGAGTCCACCTGTGGGGTAGAGGCAGCATCCAGCCTCAAGCCACAACTGGTGACTCCACAGTCCAATAGAGGCCAAGCGGCTAGACAAGAATCAGGATGCAGAGTGAGGAGAACCATAGGGGCAAGGCATGTGCAATTTGGACAGAAGTATGCAGGACCAAAGGACTGACCAGTGGACAGGGAGCTGCCCCAAGGCAGGGGTGTAAGAACACCAGTGTCAGGGGCCATGCAGCAACAGCAAAGAGTACCAACAGGCCGGGCTTGGTAGCTCAGTCTATAATCCCAGCACTTTGGGAGGCTGAGGCGAGTGGATTGCCTGAGCCTACGTCTCTACAATAAAATTAAAAAGTAGCCGGGTGTGATAGCGCGCCCTTATAGTTCCAGCTACTTGGAAGGCTGAGGCAAAAGGATCTCCAGAGCCCAGGAGGTCAAAGCTGGGGTGGCCGTGAGTGTGCCACCACACTCCAGCCTAGGCAAACGAGTGAGACTCCAACTTTAAAAAAAAAAAAGAATACCAACAGCAGAAGGCAGGGCAGCTAGTGCCCAGGACCAGTGTCCAGAGAGGGCTGGGGCACAGAAGGCTGTGGGCAGCAAGCTAGGAAGAAGCATCCACAATGGGACTGGCAGAGCAGCCTCTGGGCAGGCAAAGGAGAAGCAGGAGGCCTGGAAAGGAGACCTAGGGAAGGTAGTTCCCATCCCTGAACCCTGGGTGGCCTCTAGACCTCAGGGGGAACAGGCACATCTCTGCCCAGCCCCAGGATTAGAAAGTTCCATAAGGACCAAAGAGAGGAAAGAGAGGGGAACTCTGACAGCCTACAAAGATAGCCAGATGAACAAGCTCCTGATTGTGATTGCAGTAGATCTTCCCCTGCCCAGTACTGGACCCAGCCTGGCCAATCCCACTGCCACTACCAACCAGACACATGACAACAGGGACCCTTGCTCTCTTCCTGTGAGGGGACAGTGACAGTCATTGTGGTGCTGGGCCTGGGTCAGTTGAGATAGAACTGTGCTACCAGTACTTCCTTCCCTGTGGCGCCCGAGTCAAGGATGCCCACAAAAAGATTCTACTTGGAAGGCAGAAAGGAAACAGTACCATCATGCCCTGAGGTATGAGGCACAGCTGGCTCATGAGCATGTCTCAGACATCACAGAACAAAGATCAAACCTGGAATATCACTGATAATATAAAGACCTTACACACAAGGGAGACTGAAAGAACCCAATGCTGTACTGCAGTCCCTCTACACTGGACAAGAATACTATGAAGGCTCCCCATAGCACTGCCCACATCAGCTACAGGGAGCCCCACACAAAGAAGGGATAGTATCATAAAGCTGTGTGTGTTTGGCTCACCTAACAGGAAAGACTTATAAACTGATCGTTAGGTAATCCACATTTAAAAAAAAAAAAATATACCAACAAGAACGGAAAAGGCCAGAGATAATACAAGATGAAAAACGTCCCTTTATCTCAGGGAAAAAGATGACTTGGAAAAGGGGCCCAAGACTATCAGGGCCATTCCCAGGCATGGACCCCAACCCTGCACAAGCAACTGGCTTTGTGTGCCTGGCTGATCTCAAGAATACCACAGACCAATGACTGCTCCACACCACCTGCTTCCCCAATTTGAACAGAAAAGTCTAAGGTGTGACTCAGTGCCACCACTGCACACAGCCACATGGAAAGGAGCCCAAGGACCTCCACCTGATTTAGATGAGACCTAGAACTGACACAGCACTGAAATGAGGAATGGGGTGAGTATTTTGCATGTGGGGAGAATGTGACTGTGGCCATTTTAAAACACGGCTGCGATTCTTTTATTTTCCTCCCATCAAGAGACAGAGTCTATGTTCCCCTGCCTCAAATCTGAGTTGGCTTGTGGCTGCTTAGCCCACCCAAGGGAAGCAGCCCACACTAACACTGTATGATCCTGGCAGAAAGGGCATAGAGCTCTGCCCAGTGTGCTGGACCACTCACCCTCACAGCCCTGAGCTGCCTTGTGAAGAATCTGATTCCTGCAAGACAGGACGAAAGATGAATAAGGATGCCCAGTGAACACAGTCATTGGGGACAGTCAGGATGAATGGGCAGAGGCCCCAGCTGCTCCTTTTCTGGGACTCTCACCCAAGCCCCAGAACACAGAATGCGATCTGAGTGACAACCTCCCTAGGGTGTAATATACTAGAGGGGACTCTCCTCTGTCTCCTGACGTGACACCACAGAGTAGGGACATATTGACCCTCCTGCTTTCTGCCTAAACTCTGACCCCCAGAACTGAGAGTGTCATAAAATGGCTGTTTGATGCTGCAAAGTGCTGGGGCGGGTAGGGAAACAGCTGCCTGCCTCCCCTAAGGGGGCCAAGAAGCTCAAAGTAGGCAGTCTGTAAGAGAACCCAAGGATGAGAGCATGGGCAGAGGCAAGAGGGTGAGTCCCCATTCCAGTCCAGGCTCTGAGTCCCATCCACAGCTCTTTGGTACACACCCAAACTATTCCTGCCTGAGGTGGGCTGCACTAGCTAGCTAGTGAGAATCACTGGTGCCCCCTCCCTAGACCCCACTGAGCTGTAGCTCCCACACCATGCTTCATCAGAAAGCACCAATGCCTAGACTCCAGAAGCCACAGTGACACCTCAGCCTGAGTCCAGGATTCATGCAACTGCTGTATCACTTCCTGGTGGCTCCCCTTTCCCCAGAGCCTATGCTAAGACCCAGACAGGATCTTTCTACTCAAGAGTTTGCGTTAAGCTCCAGGCACAGACAGAAGTCTTCTTAAATTATCCGTGAAATGCTACTTACACACCAGGATTAGTATTAGGTCTTTTCTCACATTCTTAAATAT